CAAATATAATGAAATTATTTTTTAATCTTTACTGTATTTTCATGAGCAAGTAAATGATTCTGTCTATAGAGTCAGCAAAATTCCATGAGCTAAAAACATTTTGTTGTTTTAGTGCTTCCTTGTTGGGGGTGTTTTTGTCAAATGTAACATTTGACTAGAATTTCTTGCTCATCTTGGCATATTTTACTTTATTTAAAAATGACCTAAAACAAGATATGGTGGCACATGCCTATAATCCCAGCACTTGGGAGGCTGAGGCAGGAGGATCACTTCAAATGCAAGGCCAGCCTCGGCTACAGAGTGACTTCAGGGTCTGGGCTACTTAACAAGACCCTGTCTCAAAAAAAAAAAAAAAAAAAATTGAAGAAAATTCTAAAACAAAGTAAATATTTATTGCTTAGTCTTTTCTGGGGGAATGAAAGTTGTCTCTATGCTAGTGCTTCCCTGGTTTATTTCTCTTGTCTTGTTTTTATCATTTCCTCTGCCGGCTCAGATTTCTGGGTATCTATTCGTATTTGTATTTGGATACTCTTCCCTCACTCTAAAGCCAACACAGATTCACCTTGTCCTGTCCACCTCCCTGTCTGTATGTGCTACTTAACCCTTTTCCTTGGCTCTTCATGAGAATATGAAGAGCTGGTCGCTACGGGTTGGCCCGTCTTCGTCTGACATGCACAGTATTTGGATTCTCTTTGCTTATTTCTCCGTCTCCCTCTCCCGCCAGTGAACCCCAGCCCCAGCCTCCCCTCCTTCTGGCTCCTTGCCTTGCGCTCCTCCCTGTGACCCCGCCCCATCCTGGAGCCCATTACCCAAAGGCCTGTCGGGTTGACTTGCTCCCCATTAGGTTTTCTCTTTTCTCTGAAACTTTTAGCAGCTGTTTCCAGAACATAAAGACTGAACTCCTCTTGGTTTTTAGGGACCCCTATAATGAGATTCTGCCCAGCCCATCGAGTTCTGGGTACAAGTACGGCCTTCCTTACAACCTCCTTTCAGGTAAGGCCAGGGCTGGAAGGAGCAGGTGTGGGGCCCCCAGCGAAGAGGATTGGCTGGGATTGACCCCAGCTCGACGCATGACTTTGGTCTTGCTGACAAACTGGGGCCCAGCTGTCAGGCTCCCTATGCCTTTGCGGGCCCCAGGAGGCCACTTGTACCAGTGCCTTCTGCGTTTGCTCTGATTCAGAGCTGTTTACTTCCTGCTCCTGTCATGTGGCCAAAAAGAAACCCATTTTGGTCTTCCTAACATAACCCACATTCCCCACCCTGATTCTCACCAGTCCCCGTTATTTCTGAACAGTCCTGGGGTACGCGAGGTGGGGGATGCCTTTAATATTGGATCTTAGTTTTAAAAAGTTAAACACCCCCCTTCAAAAGAAAACGTGGTTATAAAAGGTCTGGGTTTTCAGTCAGACCGAGGCTGTTCGGAGCGTGGCTCTGTCACGTCTTCGTATGTACCCCATCATGGTACCCCAGCATCTAGTGGTGGTCACCAGCCTGGCAGGATGCATTGTCTGCGAATCATTTGATTTTTTTTTTTTTGGTGTTTTTTTTTTTTTTTTCTTCCGGTACCAGGAATCGAACTCACGACCTTGCGCTTGCCAAGCAGGCGCTGTGCTGCTGAGCTAAATCCCCAGCCCCTGCAAATCATTTGAGCAGGTTCTTCTCCGACCTTCGTAACTGTTTTGCAATCCATTGTTGAATAGATGCAGTTTTTCTTTTCAAAAATTATACAGGTCTGAGGTTTCCTCCTGATATAAATAAAGCATCATGCCTCTTCCCTGCCCCTGCGCGGCAGTCTCTAGACCATAAGTCAGCGTGCCCGGAGCTGAGCGCTGGCGCCGCCCTCTGTCCCGATAATGCGCCGGCCCGGCAGGCGCGGTGCCCCTGCTCCCCTGCGGCTGAGGGGAATGACGCGGGTGTGTGTTCGAGGACTGCGCAGTTCTCTGGAATCGCTCGGCCGGTCGAATTGCGTAGAAGCTAACTTTTCCTTGATGTGTGTCTTCACTGGTCTTCCCCGCTACCCGAGCCCCTTGACGCCCCGGGGGCGCTTGCGGGTGGGGTGCGTCCACACTCCGCTGTTCGGGCCTGTCTCCGCCCTCCTTCCGGCCTCCTTGCCCGCTGTTCCTGTCACCTCAGCCTGCTGCCCGTCTGCTGGCTGCTTCCGTCTTCCATGCTATTTTCTTCTCTCTTCTACTTCATGCTCTTTTCTGCTGCTCCCGTGTCTCATGCTTTTTATCTTTAGAATCAGCAGAGCTTAGCTTTGTAAACATCACATTCCTAAGTAATTCTTCTTCTTCCTTTTTTAAAAGCTTTTTTCAGTTTTTTTCTCCTGAAATGGAAATCATAGACCCACAGCTCCTGCAATCTTGGGACCTTTGGCTCTTTTTTCCATCATTTTATATTTGAGTTGCTAACAGCTCTTCTAGATGGTTGAGGTTTGAGCCAGAGTTGCTGATAAGTGAAGTGTTAGATTACAGTGGAGTTCAGCGCAAAGCGTAGTTCTGCCCGTCCTTTGATCATAAATGTGCTCCAAGGTGCGCTGCCACAGAGTGGGCGTTCTGTTCCTGGTACCACTGCTTAGGTGCTGTCCGCTCGTAAGTTCCACTGGTTGTTTAATTAGTGCTGCTGTTTCTTCTCTTTAAGTCAGGAGGTGTTGCCCAAGATCCACGAGGATAAGCACTACCCCTGTGCCTTGGTGGGGACTTGGAACACGTGGTACGGCGAGCAGGATCAAGCTGGTAGGAAGCAGGTCTTTGGAGCAAATGCTTCTTCCTTAGGCATTTTTGTAATTACCTAAATGATTTTCTAATTAATGTTTGTTTTTATAATCAGAGCTGTCCATATCTCAGCCATGGTATGGTTAAAATAATAATTCATTCCAAAGCCTACTTTTTAATTATTTTCTGTGTTTGAATCCGCTGTGTGACCTTTACAATGTAAGCCCGTACGTGGCACATGGCAGCTGTATACTCTGTTAGCGTCCTACCTGAAGGTGAGAGTGTCAGGAGTCTCTAAACGTGTACTGTCTTTTCAAATGCGTTTCAGTGCACCTCTGGAGGTACGAGGGAGGCTATCCAGCCCTCATGGAGGTCATGAATAAACTCAGAAGAAATCAGGTAATGATGTTGAAAAACGGTGCCGTACTTAGCATAGATACAGGAGATCCTGACCCAGAGTTAAGTGACTTTTCTGCCATTAATCCCTATTAATGAACTCTTCAGTTTTTGTCATAGAAATATTATCATTTGGATGCTCATTTCTATTTAAACATAAAGTAACCATTGTAATACGACTAAAATAGCAGTTCTTGGTGTCCACCTACTCTTTTTGTTTGTTTCGGGTACCAGGGAGCGAACTCAGGACCTTGTGCTTACCAGGCAGGCACTTGTGCAGCTGAGCTATATCCCCAGCCTTCTGTTGGAAAAGTCAGCTGTACTTTGAAACTGGAAAATCAGCCGGATAGACACAGTCAGCCTGAATGGCCTGATGCTGTCCATTCTACTTTAGGAACTGTCAGCCACACACTTGTTCTTTTTTTTTTTTGGTACCGGGAATCAAACTCAGGGCTTGCCCTTGCCAAGCAGGCACTGTGCCACGGAGCTACATCACCGGCCCCACACACTTGTTCTTTATCTCGGACTGACTGCTCTCCTACCTAGCCCACTTTCCGTAACAGGTGCATGTTGGTAGTTTATTTCTTGCCATACTGGCGATTGCACCCAGGACCTTCACACTGAGGTATCTCCCCAGCGCTACCTCCTTTTATTTATTTGTTTATTTTTGAGACAGAGTCTTGCTAAATTGCCCAAGCTGGACTTGAACTTGTAATCCCCCTGCCTCAGCCTCCCAGAGTGCTGGGACTAAGGTGCATGCTGCCATTCCCAGATAGCAGAGGGAATTGTGACAGCCAGACAGCGTTACAAAAGGAAGTCTTTTTGTGTAGGTTCCCAGACCAGCGTAAACACCTTCCGAGTTACTTGCTGTTTGTAGTCATCATGTTCCCTCCATGTACATGCTAGGGAAATCCAAAAATGGAGAGAACTAATTGTGGTTACCTTACTTAAATATTTAGGGTAACAATGCAATTTGTTGTCTAAACCTGGACAGTAGCCGGGTGTGGTGGTGCTCGCCTATAATCCGAGCACTCAGGAGGCCAAAGCAGGAGGACTGCTCTGAGTTTGCTGCCCGCCTGGGCTACACAGTTCAAGTGCAGCCTGAATTACAGTGAGACCTTGTCTCAGAAAACCAAGATAAACAAACCAGCCAACCTGGACAGAGAGTGAAAAGGAGGTGTAAGTCACTACCCCGCTTCAGCAGCTAGAAACTAGGATTGTCTGCTGGCCAGGCGGGTCATGCTAATTACTCTATAATCTCATTCCATGGCAACATAACTGTTACTAAAGGACATTTATGTAAGTACTAGAAGATTTCATAAGCCCATTTTTTTTTTCATGGAAAGGAATTTGCAGATTTCCGTAAGGCAAGAAGCAACATGCTCCTCTCCAGGAAGAATCAGCTGCTGCTCGAGTTCAGTTTCTGGAATGAGCCTGTCCCCCGCTCAGGACCTAATATCTATGAACTCAGGACTTACCAGCTCCGAGTAAGTGCTGAATGCGAGGGACCTGTCCCCTCGTTCTGTGACAAAGCGCAGGCACTGTCTCGACAAGAAAGACCTCAAGTGTAGGAGTAGGCAAAGGTTATAGGACCTAGTACAGTGCAACCAGAACAACTAGTAAATATTAGGACAGTTGAACAACAGCATCATTAAAAGTCACGTGCTCAGCTGGGTGTGGCGGCACATGCCTGTAATCCTAGCACTTGGGAAGCTGAGGCAAGAAAAGTCACGTGCTCAGTAGAGCCCAGTAACCACTTTTGTAATGGCAAAAGATGAAGTGATGGCCTCGGTGTATCCGAAGGATAAACCTAAATTTGGTTTGGGATTTTGGGGGCGTGTGGGGAGGATTGACCCCAGACCTTTGCATTGCGGTACATCCTCGGCCCTTTTATTTTCTTTGAGACAGGATCTCTAAGTCACATGTCCACATCTCTAAGTCAGACCGTCCTTGCTGAGCTCAAACTTGTAATCTTCCTGCCTCCACCTCCCGGAGTCTCCACCTCCCAGATTACAGGCATGAGTGACCACCCTGGCCTGCTATGGCTTTGATAACCGTAAATGGATTAAAAACTCCTGCCATTATGTGTACGTTGTCTTCTTGTATGAAACCATAAAGTGTGACTCCCATTATGAGCTAGGAAAACAAGCATATAATCATCATTTTATTCCTGTTTCTTTATTTCATCACAGACAAACTAACAAATCTAAATCTCTTTTCAGCCAGGAACCATGATTGAATGGGGCAATTATTGGTGAGTATACTATTGATGTTTGTGTGTGTTTTGTTTTGTTTTGTTTTTTTCCAGTACCAGGAATCCAACTCACGACCTTGTGCTTGCCAGACAAGCGCTGTGCCGCTGAGCTAAGCTGAGCTAAGCTGAGCTAAATCCCCAGCCCCCAACTGATGTTGAGTTTGTAAGTCTTAACAGATTATTTTAAAGCACAGTGTTAATTTTAATTTTAAAAGTCTCTGAGGATAATAAGGCTGTGACTTGACACTGGGCTGGGGTGTCTTGCTGTGGCACCTGTGTTGTTCTCAGGCTCCCAGCCCAAGTGTGATGCTTCCGGCTCCTGGATACCTGTGGCTGAGGCACACAACCCCCTGCCCAGCTTAGACTGCCACCTTGTGTAATGTTTTTATATGAAAATTTTCCAGCTGGTTGTGGCACGCCTGTAATCCCAGCACTCGAGAGGCTGAGGCAGGTGGATCCACGGGTTCGAGGCCAGTCCATTCTACATAGTGAGTTCAAGGTCAGCCTGAACTGCATAACGAAACCCTGTCTCAAAAAGACACACACACAAAAAAAGAGAGAGATAGTCCTGGCGTAAAGATGGACATACAGACAAATGGAATAGAATTAAACGACCAGAAATAAGCCATTATATTTATAAGCATTTGTTTTTTGACAGATGTGCCAAGGTAATTCAGTGAGGAAATTAACTAAAAAAGGGGGGGGCGGTATCATAGTACTTAAATATAACAATTAAATTATGCAACTTTTAGAGGGAAATCTTTGTGACTTTGAGTTAGGCAAAGAGGTATTAGATATAATACAAAAACAATCCGCAAAAGAAAAAGAATTGCTAAATTAGAAGTCATCAAGATTTAAAAACATGTACTTTAAGGGACATCATTGTAGCTGAGTTTGGTAGCACACCCCTGTAGTCCCAGCACTCAGGAGGCTGAGGCAGGAGGATCGCTGTGAGTTCAGGGCCCGCATGGGCTATATAATGAGTTCAGATCCAGCCTGCGCCACAGAGACTGTCTCAAAAACAAACAAACAACAAGGATATCATTTTAAAAATTAAGATAAATACAAACTGTAAGAAAAAGTATCAGCAAGGATGTAGAGAAATTAGAACCCTTTTCGCTGAGCTTGAAATGTGAAATGTTACAGCCATTATGAAAGTCAATCTGGAGGCTCCTCAAAAGAATTAAAGTAGAATGGTGTTGAAGATCTAGGAGGGCCACTGCGGGGTAGATGGCACACGAATTTAGTGTAGGCGCTCACCGGCATTTGCACGCCCGTGTTCATCACAGTTACTCCCAGGAGTCAAGAGCTGGAAGCAGTCCGGGTGACCATCGCCGGCGAGTGGTTCGGGACAGCTACGCGTCCGGATAAAAGAGGAGGCCTGTTAGGAGAAAGCCAGTCCTGTCACGGGACATAATGGCTGAGCCTTGGGGGCATTATGTAAAGTGAAATAAGCCAGTCACAGGGCAATACTGTGTGGTTCCACTCCTGGAGCTGTGACCAGAGGGGTCAGAATCGTGGAGACAGAAATGCGGCGTGGTTGCCAGGGGCTGGGGCGTTGTGGTGGGAGTAGAGCTGCAGTTTTGCAAAGTGACGAAGTCCTGGGTATCTGTTCTGTACCAGGGGGATACCCTCGACCTGCTGAACAGTACACTTACAATTGATTAAGATGAGAAATTTGAGGGTAGCTTTTTTACCATAATAAAAAGTAAATAAAATTTTTTAAAATAAATTTTAAAACTTTGGGAGGGAAGTGCTGAGGATTAAACTGAGACTTCACACAAGATGAGCTACATCCCACTAAGACATGTTTTTTAAAAAGGCAAAGGAAGCCAGGTGTGATGGTGCACACCTGGGATCCCAGCACTTGGGAGGCTGAGGCAGAAGGATCCCTTTGAGTTCAAGGTCACCTTGGGCTACATAATGAGTTCAAGGACAGCCTGCACTACATAGTGACACCCTGTCTCAAAAAAAAGGCTGGGGTTTGTAGCTCAGTGGCACAACCGCCTGCCTGGTGCAAATACATACATAATTAAATAAATGAATGAATGAATGAATAAATACATACATACATACATAGGCAAGCACGCACGCACGCACAGGATTTGAATAGACATTTCACCAGAGAACATACACGAATACCTACTAAATACATGAAAAAAATGTTCAATATCTGTAGCCATTAGGGAAAACTACAGTGAGAATTCCTTCACAGCCACAGGGTGGCTGTCACTAAGAGAACATGTGTGGCCACAGTAGCCTTCAGGTATTGCTGATGGGAACGTAAGATGAGAGCCACTGGGGAAAACCATCCAGCAGTTCTTCGGATATGACCCAGCAGTTCTGTTTCCGGGAACACACTCAAGAAATGAAAACACACACACACGCACACGCACACGTTCACAGCTGCATGTTTCATAATGGCCCAGAACGGGAACAGCCCAAATGCCGGTGCGCAGATGAACAAACGGCTCTGTCTGAACAGTGGGACGCAGCTCAGCGAGAAGTGAATGGCCTGCAGCCTGCAGTGGCGTGGGTGAACTTGACAAGCACACTACATAAAATACATAAGGCAGAGCGGATCGTGTTACCTGATGCTGTGTTTATGAAGTGTCCAGAAAAAGCAGGTGTACGCAGACGTAGATAGCGGGTTCCCAGGGCAGAGCATGGAATCGGGGGTGACTGCGGATGGTCCGAGGGACCCTCGGGCACAGTCAGGTGGCGATCGTTGCGCAAGTCCATACATTTTCTAAACACCGCAATTGTGTACTTAAAGGGATTCCATGGTTTGTAAACTACAATCCAAGAAAGCTGCTAACGACATGCCTCACTTAAAGAGTTTAAACCACAAATCCAAGGTTAATTCTCGATGAAGAAATCAGTTCATGTAATATAATCAAGGCTGGAAGAGGAGTTCACATGCTCTCGCAGCAGGCACACAGTCTGTGTGGTTACACCGCAGAGGTCCCTGTGCAGGTCTCCCGCTGTCTTTGTGGCCTGACACTTCCGAGGTGGTCAGTAAGTGCCAAGGAATAAAGAGGTGACAGAAACTAATGATTGCGTGAGAACTACATCAGTTGTAATTGCTCAGGTTGTAAACCTAAACGCCTTAAAGAAATGGATTATAGCCTGGTGTGGTGGCGCACTCCTGTAATCCCAGCACTCAGGAGGCTGAGGCAGGAGGATCGTAGCAAGTTCGAGGCAAGCCTGGGCTACAAAATGAGCTCAAGGCCAGCCTACACTGCATAGCGAAACCCTGTCTCAAAAAAAAGACAAAAAAAAAGAGAAATAGATTGTAGTATATTCATCTGTGGGGTTGTAGAAAATGGTTTAAAGCAGATCTAGCCGAGCATGGTGGCGCATGCCTGTAATCCCAGCACTCAGGAGGCTGAGGCAGGAGGATCGTAGCAAGTTCGAGGCAAGCCTGGGCTACAAAATGAGCTCAAGGCCAGCCTACACTGCATAGCGAAACCCTGTCTCAAAAAAACAAAAAAATAAAGCAAATCTATAACTGATAGCATGGATAAATCATGAGAACACCATGTTAAGGAGAAAGAGCTACAAAAGAATTTATAAATGTGATACCTTCTACGTAAATTTTCTTTCTTTTTGTGCAGTACAGGGGGTTGCACCCAGGGCCTACTCACAGAGCTACCTCATAAGTTGTTTTTTCTATTTTATTTTGAGGCAGGACCTTGCTAAATTAACTAACTTACCAGCTGGGCTGGAGCTTGGAATTCTCCTGCCTCAGGCTTTCAGAGTGCTGGGGTTATAGGCCTGCACCACCACGCCCAGCTATGGGAGTCTTTAAAGATACAGCAAGAGTACTACTGCTGGTGGATACTGCGGAGAGTGGAAATGTAAACACGGACGGGAGGACCGCAGCAGCGGCAGCCCTGGGGGAGGAGGGAGGCGGGTGGAGTTGAGGATGAACAGAAAAGATGCTTCCCAGTCTGCAGTGTTTATATCTTTATGAGAAGAACCAAGCAAAATACAGCAAAACACGAAGTATTAATGTTTTAAAATAAGGGATTAGAACATTACTTTATAATGTTAAAAATTAAAATCATCTTAGAGCGTGTTCAGAAGGCAGTTGGTAAGATCTGACTCCAGTGTTAGGGGCCCTACCTCCTAATAAAAACTACTTTAGAAATTAAGAGTAGAGGATTTTTTAATAATTGAAGTGAGGAAAAGAGAATTTACCTTTAGGTAGATTCTACCAACTAGAGAAAATAATTTACTTTTTTTATATGCACATAAACATTTTTATCATCTGTCCCATCATCGCACCCTCCTGCCCATTTCCACTTTTGGGGGCGTTTCGTTGTGAAGTATTTTGGTCCTATTCATGCTCCGTATTACCTGCCCCTACACCCTTTCCTCTCCGTCTTCCCTTCCTCTTGCCTAATAAGCGTCTCCCCTCTGCTTTCTTGGCCTCTTTTTGATGCCACATATTAGGAGAACGTGCGACATTTGTATTTCACTGTGCACGAGCTCCAGCCCGGTTCCCTACGGATGCCGTGATTTCTGTGTTCCTCGTGGCTGAGTAGTACTCCGCTGTGTATCCGTGTCTACGCGCTCATCTGTAGGTGCACCTCTCGGCTGGTAGCTCGGCTCTTGTGGGCAGTGCTGCAGTACACGAGTGTCAAGGCGTGTGTGCGCTGACTTCATCCTTCGGGCACACGGAGCAGCGTGGGAGGGTCGTGTGGTGTTTCTATTTTTAGCTTTTTGAGGCACCTCCATACTGATTTCCACAAGCTATTCTAATTTATATTCCACGCACAGTGTGTGAAGGCTGCCTTTTTCTCCTTGCCAGTATCTGGGGGATTTCTTGGTGGTGATTGCTTAGTTTTTAAATAGCTGTTCTGACTAGCAAGATGAAATTAGATGCAGTTTTGAATTTCCCTGATAAAGATGTTGAGCGTTTTTCTCATACACCTACTGGCCATTGGTACTTTATGGAGAAGTGACTGTGGAAGTCCTCTGCCCATGTATTGATAGCATTACTTGTTCTTTTGGTGTTTTTGTTTTTAGTTCTCTATATATTCTGGGTGTTAGTCTTCTGTCAGGTAAATTGCTGGCAGAGACTTTTTTCCCATTCTGTGGGCCGTTCTTACTCTGTTAATGGTTTCCTACTGTGCAAAGCTTTTTCTTGGTTGATTTTTTGAGACAGGATCTCACTTTGTAGGTCAGACCTTGAACCCAGAGCAGTCCTCCTGCCTCAGCCTACCAAGTGCTAGGATTATAGGAGTACATGAGCACTCCTGGCTAGATTTTTTTATTCACCTTATACAGTAATCAACTCACATTGATTGGGTCAAGATCTTAATAGAAGACCTGATGAAACCCTGAAATCACTACAGAAAACCATAGGGAAAACACTTCAAGATTTTGGCACTGGCAGTGTCTTTTTTGAATAGGATTCCAGTAGTTCAGGAAATAAAAGCAAGAATGGGATGGCAGTAGTTGCATGGTTTTATTTCTGGGTCCACTATTCTGTTCCTCTGATGTTAGGATTTTTTTCTCTAGTTCTGTGGAGAATGTCGTTGGTGTTTTCATGGGATTGCATTGGGTCTCTAGATGGCCTTCTGGGGGGACCATTTAACAATATGAGCATTCCCTGCCTGTGGGTACCAGGTTGGACTTAATGGAAAAACACAGCAAGCACCATTACCACACTAACAAAAATGCAGGCCGGCCATGAGCTCACTTCGTAGCACAGGCTGTCTTGAACTCGCAACGATCCTCTTGCCTCAGCCTCCCAAGTGCTGGGATTACAGGCGTGCGCTACCAAGCCCGGCTACTTCAACTTTTTTCGGCATCATTTTCCCACCAAAGGAGGGTCTGGCTGCTGCGAAGCAAAGCTTTGGGTGGAAATCACCTGACTGCTCTGATCCTTCCTTCCTTTCTTGAAATGAGAACCTATGACTTTGACTTACTTTCAGCTTACATCTGTTCTTTTTGGATTATAAAATAATCTTGCTTTGCATTTAGTCATTTCTAAGCTCTCTCTCCAGTTCAAACAAATGGTTCTGTGATCTTTATTTCTAGTGACTCTTTTCTTCTTGGATCCTCAAAAGCCCAGTACCGAAGTTCCTCATTTAACGACAGAGTTACTTTCCCGCCACTAGGCTGCTAAATGAATCGGTCACTAAGCGAAGAAACTGCAGATAGTATGTACAATATTCAGAACAAAGGAAACTGCGACTTGATGATTTTGCTTTCTCTTACATGCAGTACTGTAATGTCCAACAGCATAAAACCACAGTGCTCCAGGGTATAATCAGCAAAAATTACAGTACTGTGTACACAGGTGTTGTGTACAAAGAAAAGACACTGAGGCTGTACCAACAAGATGAACAGAACTGCACCCGATAACAGGTCATGCCGTCCAAGTAGTCATTAAGTGAGGGATGTCTGTAACACGTACCCATTTCTGTTGATTTGAAAACTGGGAAATGCAGATTTGATTATATTCCGCTCTTACAGACGCAGCTTGTTGGACTTTTGTGTATGTTTTTGTGCTTTCGTCTCTGGACATGACTGTCTAGATGTTCACAGGGTGGATCATCCACTGCTTCCATTTTTCCATATTACCAAATAAAATGTACTCACCCGGGAACCCACAGGGCGCACTGAGGTTGCTCAGCTGTTTTTGTAGAGCCGGGTCGGCACACAGTGTGTGTTTTGGCACGTAGGTAACTGTGTAGGACGATGACTCCTTGCAGGCCATGCCTCTGATTTCTCCCACGCCACGCAAGTATGTTTTCTTTGCTTCCGTGACTGAATTAGAAAAATTCAGAATGAAATGAATAATCCAGAACATTTATCACTACCAATGATAAAGTTCTCTGAGCACAGTTAGAATGCATGTGAAATTGATTTGCTTAATTTCAGTAATTTATCAATCAGATTTGTAATTTTTGTGAAGATGCTGATTACTCAATTCCAAATGTAAAACCTGAAGTGTTTAATACTGTTTCTGGGTAACCCACGGGACCACAGCAGGCATCCCCCCTCCACCTGAAGGGGGCCAGGAGCCGGGCCGGGTCTCAGGTATGGCGTTGAGCTCGGTGGACTAGGGTGGGGGTTACTGAGTGGCCTTCAGGACACTGGCCTCGTCCCTCGCATCAGGTTCTCCTGGCTCTGCAGCTGCCACTGCGGTGCTACAGGGCAGTCCCTTCATTCCCTGCAGAAAGGGTGGCTAGGGGGGCCGTCCCCACTGTGGATACGGGCAGCCCACCATCCATTCACGTACCTATGACCATGGCAGTGACCGCCTCCCCAGGTGCTGTCAGGGCCAGGACCCGGATATGACGAACCTCCAGCAGTTTTGCTACAGATTTCCCGGATGCCCCAGAGTGTGGGGCTCCTGACAGACCCCGGCCTGCTTCTCCTGCGGGCTTCCCTACTTCAGCTGGCGCTGTTTCCCTTCTGTTCAGCTGTGATTGGCAAAAATGGTTTTTGCAAAAATACATTTTTAAGAGTCCAAGTTATATTACTAAAAGTAAAAATAAAATGTCCAGTGCACGTATGAAAGAAGGTATTTACATTAAAAAGCCAATACCTTTCGGCAGAGAGAAATCTTACAAAGTGTTAAACACCCATTTTTAACCAATTTAGCCACAGTTTTTTGTATCCATAGAATGCACATGTGCACTTTGGTCTGCATGTGTAGGGAGTACCTTCTGGGTCTCCTTTTCCAAATACTTTGTTAAGAAAGAAAGAAAAAATAACAGGCAGTAGCCGGGTGTGGGGGTGCACACCTGTGATCCCAGCACATGGGAAGGCTGAGGCAGGAGGATCGCTGTGAGTTAGAGGCCAATCTGAACTATATAGTGAGACCATCTCTCAAAAGCAAAAAGAGTCTTCATTCTGAAGTCTGGCCCTGCGCCCGGAGAACGCAGTCTACTGATCTCCCTGACCATCTGTCCAGCGTATGTTGTCTCTCTTCCAGGGCCCGTGCAATTCGTTTTCGACAAGACAATAATGAAGCAGTGGGAGGATTCTTCTCTCAGATCGGGCAGCTGTATATGGTGCATCATCTGTGGGGTATGCATATTTTTGCCATCATTTAATTTTAATTTTTTCCTCTCTAGACAGAATCTAACTGAGTTGCCAGGCTGGGGTCAAACTTGACATTGTCCTGCTTCAGCCTCCCAGAGTGCTTGGATTCCAGGCATGTGCCACCTCACCCAGCAAGTTACTAGGATTTAAGGGTTCATTGCTAACTAAATTATAGCTCTGAGCCAGGAGTGGTGGCGCACGCCTGTAATCCCCACACTCCAGAGGCTGAGGCAGGAGGATCGTTACAAGCTCAAGGCCAGCCTAAACTGCATAGTGAGACCCTGTCTCAAAAAGACCAAAAAATTAATTAATTTTAAAAAATTGTAGCACTGGAGCAAATCTGCAGTGTGTAACCTTACACACTTTAGCAAATCCAAACATCACAGATGGGTGTAAGTGTTGTGGTATCTAAAAATGAAGAAGACAAGCATGGTGGTGCACACCTGTAATCCCAGCAGCAGGAGGCTGAGGCAGGAGGATCACTTCAAGTCTGAGGCCCGCCTGAACTATCTAGCAAGACCCAGTCTCCGAAAAAATAAAACTGGAGAGCTCAGCGGTAAAGGGGGTAAGAGGGGAATCAAGCAGCCGCAGGAGGAGGAGGAGGATAGAGACGCAGAGCTCCCTCCCAGGGGGCCTACTGTGTGCCCCCGGCAGCTCCCACGCGTGCGCTGTCCCGCACGTGCGTCGGGCACCTCTTCTTGTACCTTGGGGGGCTGCTTCAGACGGAAGCCCGCCCGCAGCCCCAGTGAGTGCCGCCCTCCTCGCCCTCCTCGGAGTGCCCAGGCCCTTTCCTGCGGGGCGGTCGCACTGCTGGCTGTCGGTGCTTCTCTTGCCAGAGCAGAGACTCGGCCTTGGAGATAGCTTGGTGAAATTCCACCAGCGCGTTCCGGGCGCGTTTATAAAAAGTTGCAAACATGGCAGTTAAAGCGCAGCTCCCGTCGGCGCCCGTGCCGGCCGCGGGGCTGGTGCGCCCCGACGCGGGTGTGTGGGCTCCCAGGGGAGGAGAGCCGGATCTGCCG